CATCACATCAACTCTGGGTATTCTCACCTCAGAAATGTCCAGCCATTGTAGAGGTGCTGGCAAGAGTGGGCAAATCTAGCAGAAGTCCCATGAGTCACGATCAGACCAAGGTAGACTGTATGCCTAATCTCACTCGATCCAACTTGAGCGTTGCGTTTCAAGGTTCCTTGTCTTATCCACCCCCTTATTCACAGTCTTAATACCTTAGCCCTCTGGAGCCGACAAAAGAAATGACGAAAGTCTGAAATTAGTTTCTTGCCTAACTAGAGTGAAGGGAAAATGATGATTGAATAAATCAATCTCATTTATGTCGACTCCCTCTCCTAGACCCGTCCTCCCACCGCCACGGACCGCAGACCAGCGGCCGCGGTGATTCGAGATGTCATCCTCGCCACAGCACCCGGTCGTCGTTGTCTGAATCTCAGGCTTATTGAATGAAGCAAGATTTCATTCAAGAGGACAATTGCCTTGCCTCCCAGAAATCGATTAGCAGACTCCAACAAATCTAGACCTGCTTTTTGAGTATGCTTAGGCGAGTTGAAGACCGCTTTCGATCGGCAAAGAAATAAGACTGTGCCCTGGACGCTGTGAAGGCGACCGAGGGGGTCACAGTCTTGTTTGACCTTCTCCTCCTTCCTCCGCACAACAACAAACCTAACTGGTAAGAGAGAGCTGGAGGCTGCGAGGTTAAGCCTCCGTGACTGGCGTGTAATATCTCGCGGAGCCAAGGAAACTGATAAGAATATGAGTTTAGTTCGCTGATTTGGCGGTGTTTAGGGGCAAATTTGTCCTTGCATATTCCCCTGCAAAAGTATGAAGACTAAACCTGACCGATAATTTTAAAGTGTTCTTCCTTTTAATTCACTCAGTTGGTAGAAATGTTTTAAAAACATCAAAAATTTGCATAAAATCATCTTTATAATGTTTATAGCCTTGCACTAGCTAGGAAATAATATAAAAATTTTCGTAAGGGTAGAAATTGGTAAAGAAGGGTAAACTAACTCAAGATAATGCTGCATGGACGAGCAGTAACAGGTGGCACGAAGTACTTTCTCCGTTGGCTACTCTTGATAGAATAGTCCTGGCCCCTACCAAAATCGATTATAAAAGGAAAGGCGACGAAAGCATGTAAAAAAATCGGATGGGATTTAAATGCCCGATGAGCAGATACAACCAACATAATTCTACAGTAAACAATAGTCATCTTAGTATACAGGAAAATGGATTTTAAAGGAAATGGTTAAGGGTTCGGAGAGAGGGAATAAATATACGGAGGGGGGTAAAAGGGGTGATCATAATAGAAATTAATTAAAAAAATACAAATAGTTATCTATATAGTAGAAGCGTATATACAAAATAACATTTTCTGTATAAATAAGGATAATTGCATATAAAATAATAATAGCGTAAAATAATAATAGGAATTGTAAGATATAAATA